TTGCCAGAAGAATTATTCTAAGTGGACAGAGGTAAAATTTTTGAAAATTATGCTTAAACAAAAGGGAATGTCAAAGTTTCATGCATTAATGAGGAGGAGTCGGTTACAGAAATAAGTAAAACCTTCAAAGATGAGGCAAAAGATCGTCCATTTTGGACAACTTTGGTGCAAATAAAAACTGAGGTTTCCTCCTTGGGAATATGCAGTTGACGTTACATCAGCATAACACCCAAAACAAGAATCGAAGAGCCCTTGTGTAGCAAATTCAATTTGAAATGGAATTAAATGGGATACAGGAATGTATTTAGAGAAACTGCAATAAAATTACGGCATTAACAATGTTCAGTTTGAGTACAAGTACATACGTTCTTCACCCGAGCGTCAAACTTCGATGACTTCGGAAAACATATTTGGAGTAAATCAATTTGGGACTTCAGAACCAGAAGGAATTCCTCCGGAAATGGTAAAAGAAAACTAGAAATCTAACGGTGTAATCGGTTGCGGTAAGAGAGTGTTAAATAGATATGGTTAACTCTTCGAACCTCTTTTGCAATGCCCGCAGCAAAAGGAGGCCAAAACAGTTAAGTCGTTAAAATAAGTCGATTTGCAGTTGCGATGGTTTCATAGTGATTGTATACCTCTTCACGTTTCCGGTTCCACTGATGCACTTCCCGTTAAGATGACATACAGAAGTTTTTTACGTTTCAAATCTACAGCCTTTTATACTTGAAAATGTAAACTACTAAACTCTGCCGAAATCGTTCTTTAGGGCACGTTTTAAATTTTTTTTGCTCACTCGCGACAGATATTATTGCACGAGCAAGTGACATTACTGACAAGTGCAAACGAATAACGTAAAAAATTATTTTCTCGACGGAGCCCCAAACAAAATTGTCGTTGGAGGGCGCACTTGAACTATTTCGGCAAGAGCTCCAGTGGCGGCGATAAAGGTCCTACTAAGGTATAAAGCGGGTTTGATCAATCCTTTCTTCTTTCTATTGCATGGAAAAAATTGTATTTTATGCTCCTGTTGTTTAGGCAGTCGTCTGCAAACAGCCTGGTAACACTTCTCCTTCATGTCCTTACTCTTTGGGGACTCCATTAATGACCCGATACTGTGCTTACGATTTGCTGTTTTGTTTACCACTCGCTGATGGCGATTACTAAGGAAAGCCGAAATCTAGGCTTTCATTTCCCCAAACTCCACAGTGGTTATAAACTTGCAAAAAAGGTTCTGCTGAGACACAGCATCAAGGTCTTCAGCAAAGTCCAAGACTGCTGTATCTGAATAGATGCTTGGTACTACAAAATCGAAAAAATAGAGTTCAGTAACGAGAAAGGCATGCTAAGGTACTTATCGACTTGCACTCATCAGAGCATACACGCGAGAATGACATTAGATGCTAATTGACAGTGGAGTGTGGAGACGAATTCTTTCTGACGGCAGAGAACTGGTCCAGTGAACTGAAAGTACGTGTAGCCTCGAGCATGCGTAAATGACTGAAATTGCGTGCTTTGGCTGGTTAACTGCGGTTCGCTGTATTGTTTCTAACATTTAGGGTGATCGAGCAAGTGCGTTGGTTAGGGTGTTTGTTGTGAGTCTTTACTTGCACGGGGCGGTTGTTTACGCGACGCTGACAAGTTATACTACGGATAGAGGAAGGAACATGCTCCTTAATACGGCTGGCTAGGTGTTGCAATGTTCTATCCATGTAACCAAGCTTCACATCGCCGCACTGAATAGGCCTAACATTGCTAAATTGCTCGCATCTTTACGGACAGCAGGGAGCATCTTGCGCAGTGCTGGTGACATAGCTGTTTTGATTTCAAGCAAAATCGTGTACTGGTCTCAGTGAGCTGGCTTTCTCATGACATGCCTGTTGATCATCGACGAGGGTTTGATGATGATCTTGAAGATTTTAAAGCTCTCCCATTCTGAGGGGTATCGGGTTTCTTTGCTCGAACGTAAAGATGCCCCTTATTCCTTGTTAGAACCAGAAGACAATAGTATTGGGCCGTTGTGGCCGTACTTTGCCTTTAACTGTCAATGATTTTTGCGAAACATATTTGAAGGAGCACTGTTTGGTCTCCACAGACTTGGACTTTGGAGGTTGTAGAATTTTCATAAAGGGCCTCTGCAAATACGAGTAGTTCCTTTCGTGATTGTGCTTGATACGCCGCTGCTCCTCCAAGCACAACAAAGGGTAAATTCATACTCGAATTCACACTGAATTCATTTCCGGCTTCATGAGGGCTATCATGTGGGAGTGGAGGTCGGTAGAAAGCTCCAGTGAGGACTTGTTCATTTGCGTTTGATGACTTCAGGAACAACTGACAACATGGTATTTCACCTTTGTCAGCCTTCAAGTCTTTCCTTTCAGTCGAGGGTATAAAGACACAACCATCGTCTTTCCCTACACCTGTTCTATGGAAAGATGGAAATTTGATGGGGATCATCGATATCGACACCATCGTCATCATCGTCAGATACACGCAGAATAAATGATGATGATATGTGCGTAATACACTCGTGCGTCCCATGTGTGGAGAGATTCGGCAGTGGCAAATGTCTCTTTGAGTTTTTTTCCATCACATTCCCCAAGTTCAATCGGAATCATTCACCCAAGACCCGGTTCTCGGCAAGACAACTGGCTCTTCGGTGCCGATGAATGATGCCGGGTGAAAGTACTTTGTCACGTAGTACTCCTGCAGTATTAATGATATCTGCAGTGATACGTTTATTATTTATTCCCTTTCGCAAGGCTTCATGTTCAGTGGGTATAAACGATGCTTTTCCTGCTACTAGTTCTCTGCTATTTCAAAGGACTTCTTCTTTGCTCGAAGACCCGAATGAATCCTGTGTGATGAGCGTATGATCTCAGAGGAAGGAATCTTCAAAGTTTTAACATGTCACAGGCGGAACAAAATCCTCGCAAAGCTCCTCAGGCTTGACACAAATTGTAATTTGCACCTGAGATGCCTGAGCACTTACTGAGGACCCACAGCTGACATCTATCACGTAATAGCTCCGTCAGAGTGTTCAAGGGTACGATTGCTTAAAGTGGCGTAAATCTGTGTTGGAAACTGGGGATGGCGTGGGGGTGGGCGAATGACTTGCCCGGCCATGGAAATTTGAAAACGGGGGGGGGGGGGTTGACACCATATACATTAGAGGAGGAGGGGTGATATTCATGATAAGATGTTCATCTTTAATGTGTATCAAATTCATGCAGAACCTTACATCAGAATGGGGTAATTATGGCTTTTATAAATTGCCTTCCCTTTTTAATGATATTGCAAACATATTATCGTTAGGAAGTCCTGAAAATTCTGCACAATCCGCTTTAATGTTTTTGCTCATCACAGAAAAGTGTTTGGGGATGATTCAATACCCCATTCCCCACCTCAAAAAGTGGGAGGACACCCAATACCCCCATGATTGCTTATCCCACAAGGCCATTTGAACTCTCTTCCCCGCCTAGAAGGCCCTGGGTTGGATTCTATACACCCTACCACCAGAGTTATGAGTACAATCATGGTCATCTTTGTGGATGACAAAGATAAAAGGTACTTGTACAGATGCAGTCCCTTACCAAGGTCGGGTCGTCTGGCTGAAATATAAGAGATGGCATGAACTGAACTGTTTTCCACTGAGCAATCATTTGCGGCCTATCCGCCCTGAGCAGAAGCACTCCCTCACCGGTTGAACAGAGCCATGTTGGTGGAGAGTATCGATGTGACTGCTGCAACGCTTGAAGTTCATAGTCGTTCGTGAACCAGTGATGTCAAGTTACCACAGGGTATTTACCATAGGAGCCCGCGTTGCTGGGAACATTGCACCCTCTCTTGGTCCAGCTCGGGGCCCATACGTGTCCAGACATGAATAAAAATAAGGAGATCTCCTACCGTGAGTCAGTGGACTCGTCCTGATTACTGTGGATTGAATAGAGTTCAAAGCCCCACAACAATGCATCGATGAGAATAGCTCAACCACCTTGGAGTACACACGCACGCCGCCGACTGTTCTTGTGTCTGAACATACAGCGTCGAGGATCAGCACCGTCACATGTAGAAAAAAAAATCAACTTCTTATCACAAGGCGAGTATAATGAAAACCAATCCCTCACAGATTCAGATACTGGAAGGTAAACAGAACAGTTGGAAGAACAATGGTAGCAATATAACCATGGGTATGCAAATGATTTTTGCGTATTGAAAACAATACAAAAACTAAGGTTTAAAATGAGGACAGCTCTCCCAAAGGGCGCCCTCACTTCAATCTTTCGCACAACTGTCATCCATCTGTTATCGTGGGCCTTCTTCTGATGTATTTTGATTGATTATGTACTAGCATTGAGGGCAAATAGACTCATATTCCCATAGCTTATTTTGCTTTGTACGATGATGGAGTACCAGGCATACTGGTCTTACAGTATTCTCAGTGAAGCGTGTCATCTTCCATCGTTAGCGGAACCTCTCGGAATACACAATATATGGTATTTTGTTAGATTGGTCCATCAATATTCAGAGTGCCTTGCTATTAAAGGTAAGGGCATCACAAAGAAATTTTGTTTACCTTAGCTGAGCGCAATAACATGTCCAAAAATTCGTGCGCTATTATTTTGTTGGTTTTTACCAATCTAATATTTCCTCGAATTTGTTTCTAGAATTTTGCAGTAATTTTTTCGCGAAAGGATCGACGCATACTCTAAATGTCGCTAAAACTAAGACAACCCATGATTCCAACAAGTTGTGTTTGAGACGTTGATAAAAATAAACAAACGTAACTATTGGTAGGTCCCTTCGAAGTGGTCTGAAAAATTTAGCATAGTTACCCTTCTACCGAGGCCACTCCCATTAATGTCAATAATTTAACAATTATTCTCGCGCGAATACCCCCAGAGAGGCTACAATAAGCGGTCATATAGGGTCACTTGGTACGTACTGAATTTTTTTTCGCACAAACCGAGTGACTGTAAAATGAAGGATGACGGGCACAATATTAATCATGCTGGCAAAATCATGCAGGCAGTAACAGGGTGCGCGAATAATATATATTTTAATCATGCGTACATGTATTTTTCAAACTCACCCGACGCGGTTTGCTGCATTGAGTCTTTCCCTGAATTTACGGATACTCGAGCAGCAACGCTATCAAGAAAAATTTACCAAACAGGTTACGCGTAGGCCTACGGAAGTTCCTTGTATCTTTTATTACGAACTAAAAGGTTCGACAGAAAGGAATCGGCGAATAGGCCTAAGTGAATTGACTTGTAGAAAGTGGAGTGCGGTGGGCGAGGATACGTTGGAGCAGTTCAACTTTGAAATATATAGTTCACAGCCGGCCTGAAGCAGCAAAACGGTTATTTTATTGCTCCCATGCTGCGTGAGTTTACATGTTGACATCCTAATTTCCTAAACCAGCGTCGGTGATTTGATTGTGTTCTTATCGTAGGAAATATTCAGCTGACTTCCACGGACTATTGCGGGAGTTGTCACTTAGCTCGTTCACTTGTTGCCGGTGTAATCGGTGAAGGAAAGCGAGACAACTTGATAGGGAAATCATGGTCTGCACCGCGGCCGGCCTTCTGTGTGCCGTGTGTGTTCTCGTCTCACCAGGGGCTACTCGGGTCAACAGTCTACAATCGTCGTGGGGCTACCGTGGGTTCAAAGTGCAGTGCCAAACGGGCATCCGCTCCAGTGGCGACGCCTTGAGGATCTTCCCCAAGACGGCATCCAGGAGCCAGTGTCTGCAGAGGTGCTTCGCCCACCGTCAATGCGAATCCGTCAGCTACTCGCCCGAGAGTGGCCAGTGTTATCTCAGTAGCTCCACCAAGGAGATATCCGGGACATCCGAGGACCAGGGTTTCATGTACTGCGGCCCCGAGGCAGATGAACCGTGGGACGTAAGTTGTCTCTTCGTATTTTGAGAAAGATGGAAACAGTTTCATTCACACACAGAAAAGGGACTACCTAATATTGAATGTTATCTAACAAGTTTTTCCGACCGACCAGTATGTCTTCTCTTGTCCGTATGAAATGGAAGGCTCGGGTTGACGTCTTCTCTGTATAAGATTTACTGTCATCGTTCCAAACACGTCTGATATTTTACCATAACCCCAAAGTTGCACATGAAAATCATACTGAAATTGGAGGATTGAGGACTGTTGAGTTAATAATCCAAGATGCGATGTCATGATTGAAAGACCTGTGAAGAAATCTTCTCACTTTAACCACCTTAAAACAGCTGTTTCAGTCCCAAATAATAATTTGTTTCCCATTCCGGCTGGCGTTAATATTCACTGTTAAGTTTAATAGCACCAATAACCTGGCAAAAGAAACACACAAATAGATTTGACGATTGCGAGATGTAAAAGAGCCGTCTAGAAACTGCATTTTTAAATTTGTTATTGCGTAATGCATCGATCGGCGTTATGGCCTCAATGCACTTTCAGATCAGTTACCTTTCCATTTGCCAGTCCTACAACGAGGGTCATAATAGTACCTATACGACTGAACTATTCGTTGGCGTCGCCAGTAGGGGGGGGGGTGTGTGGAAGCAAGGCATTCATCAACAAAAAATTGACAAAATTAGCAATAGTGCAAGAGGGTCTATTCTGAGGTACAGGTGTTTTCAAACAAATTGGTGATTTTTATTTCTTTGGTTCATGTTTTTTTTTTAATTTCATTTCTCCCCTTTTATTTACCCCCCTCCACTTTTCGAGAGAGAGGGTGAGCGTCCACCCCCCCTGAGGCCCATTGGCAACAGATGAAATTGTTCTCTGGAGTGGAGATATTCTAGTAAATAAAACAACGTTAAATTTCTCGTATAAACAGTCGTTCAAACCATCCCGGACGCCACGAACTGACACCAGTGGAGTCAGTTTGTTAAAACTGCGTTATCGACAACTTCGGTTACACGAAACAAAGTGACAACAGATAGCGCGCGCACCTTGAAACTGACGCGAAATACACTAGTTTTGTTTTCACGAACCATAGAGCTATAAAATTTTTATTGGTAGCTCTATGTCACGAACTGACACTTGGTGCGGCGATACAGCGCGAAGAAAATGCTTAGAAAAGTTTGACATGACTTTGATCCATCCGTATACAACTAATTGAATTAATCAAATTAGGGCCTACAAGTGGTTTTAACTGGATGGTGACATTAAGAGCGTATGGTGTTCCAAAGACGACAAGTCACTTCAGCGTCGCCGTCGCCCATCACATTTTTCTCATTTACTTGTGCACAAAGTGGGATCATGAGGGGGCTCCATATTGTGAGATCCTCATCTTATCCGAGCTTCATGGTCCATGGTATATACCGTAAATGTGCGGGCCGGGCATTTTTTTAGTGTACAGTCTGCGAATCCATCTTTTACTGATCACATTCATTTTCTGCAAAAACGACTCGACTGGTGTCCTTTATAAAATAAAGCATTTAGGGCTAGGCCTATGTTTTTCATTTTGAAAAGTTATCATACAATGTCTTTGTGTTTTGGAAACTTATTCTACTGGGCTTATGTATGTGTTGATGATCAAGTACAATGACATTTCTTTCGAAAAATTATGATTTTTTTCCGACGGGTTCCTATCCATAACCCAAAGGATGCTGATTTATAAAGAATTCATTGCTCCTGGCGCAAATAGCTACGTAATTAGCTTGAAGTACAGTTGACCCTGTCCCAACAAGAATATTTAACCGTGTTTTATCACCGCGTCAGTGGCTTGTGAAGAATTTTTTTGGGGGGGGGGGATAATGCATAATTTTTTCCAGGGGGCTTAGGCTGAAATTGCTTTACAATTGTTTCTCAGGTAATTCCCCCCCCCCCGTTATAATATGCACTGCTTATAATAGACCGCATTTGCGGCGTCCCCAATTTCAGTCCGTTTTCCCCGACGTAGCGTATTTATTTGAAAACGTTGAATTCAAAGAACCAGACTATATTTTACGATTTCATCCCGACCCCCAAAATCACCTGGTACCATCCCATTACGGGTTTCAAATTTATACTGTACGTTCAGGAATACGACTGAAAATGGGGACGCCGCGAATACGGTCTATTCAAACCCCACACATTTGCGGTATTTACCATGGAGGAATCAAAAGATGGAGAAGAGCTCAAAATACGGGGCGCCCTCACAAGCCCACTTGTCTGCAACGGCGACGCGACGTGTCGTGTTGTCTTTGGAACACCATACCGGTATCAGGTAGTGAAAACGAAAATGCACGGAGTGCGCGCTAGAAGTGCCGCACTGCCCCGGGTGCGATTTTTTTCCGTAAGTGGGCGAATCAAAAACACGAATTATTCATTAGGCGTACTCCTCAATCAACTGAACTCCAATGACATAAATGACCCAGAATACACGTATATGTACATTACGTACTGCCTGTGCACAGTGTACAATACGTGTACGCACCGTGACCGCGATCCGATCACTTGGAGTTTTATTCCGTGAATGCTTCATATTATGCTGAGAATAAAATATAATTCAGTATGCACAAGAACTTTATTGGTTACATTTTTGGATAGTTACAAAATGTGTACTGTCCCTTGAAGTCCCTAGCTTTTGTTAATTTTGGTAAACTTGAAGTTGTATATTTTTTCATTTTTTATCTAAAAACAAGTCCAAGGCAACTCAATTATCCTAGAAACTCAGTGTCCTCACCATTTTCACCCGCCAGGAATTGAAATTGAGTGTAATTTTCACTGTGAAAACATGAAATTGAATCAGTTAATAAAATTTTAAAATATAAAAATAAATAAAAATAAATTTAAAATTTTTTTAAAAATAATAAAAATTAAAGATTTTTACCCCCAAAAAAGATTCTGTAGCTACGTGTACATCCCAGTATAATTGCATCATTAATTACAGCTTTTCTCTTTGTAAACTCTGTCAATTACATGTACAATACATGCAAGTATGATGATGGGCACATGTACATGTACAATACATGTACATGTAGGTAAGATGGGCGAGCATATATTCAGACACCTGTTTGCTCGTGTCCTTTACTGTAGCATAGCTGTAGCACTAAATCCCGCCCAGATCTTTACTTGCTGTCACTGCAGCCAGACCTGCAGATCCGTATGATGTTCCATATGTGCCATCTGGTCGCATTTTTCGACGGGCGTCGCATTTTTTGACGGGCGTTGCATTTTTTTTTTAACTGGGGCCGCATTTTTCGACCTGCGTCGCATTTTTTCAACGGGCGTCGCATTTTTCGACCAGCGTCGCATTTTTCAGCTGGCGTCTCATTTTTTAACCGGCGTCGCATTTTTCATTACTTCATCGGAAAGACCTATGGAGGCCAGGATCTCGTCCATGACCGGTACCGCCAGCTTATTATGAAACACTCGAAAACTAGACTAATGAAGAATGAAGTTATCTGTTGTGAAGATTCTCACACGTACGGCAATATTTCTCACAGAACAAAGAAAATTAGACAGAAACGCATGTACATGTACGTGTAACCCCAGGGTCAATCAAGAAGCAGCAGCTACGACGAAACAGCCTTTTCAAACAGTGACACTTTTCAAACCCAAATCCACATGCAGTCCTTAAGACCATGGGAAGTCATTTCGTTGAGTAATAAACACCAGCCCCCCCCACAGGATCCCTTAAATTCATTCACTGATGCTGTCCATGTAGGTAGAAGACCCCGTGATGGCTTCTGCAGAATGATGATATTGTATCAGACGTTCCTTGCCTTAGCTAGCCTTGCTGTATCAGCTGTTCTTATGACTGATTTCGATTTGCAGTCTTGTCAAACCATCACTTTGGTCGTGGAGGAATCCTCCATGAGTTCTTATTTCTCCATGCTTTCCTGGACAGCCTCTACAGGGGTTTGTTTGTTTGTTGTCTTGTTTTGGTGTTTGTTGGGTTGTTGGGTTGTTGGGGTGTTTGTTTGTTTGTTTGTTTGTTTGTTTGTTTGTTTGTTTCACTCGGATCTGGATCACGATCGGTGATCCCTTGTTTGTTCACTGACACCGCAGAACCTGCGTAATGGATAGAGCGAATCAGCTTTGGGATCACTGATCCAGATCCGGATCCGTGGGCCTGTTTGTTTAACACAGATCTGGATCGCGATCAGTGATCTGTCGTTGGGTTACGGACACCAAAACCCGCCTAATGGATGTTGCGAACCAGTGTTAGGATCACTGATCGAGATCCAGATCCGTGTTAAACAAACACACCCCGTGTAAAACAAACTGACCCGTTGTCTCAGTCCCTTTAACATTGCTTTATTGTTCAATTTTTGGACATCTTGTCCATATTTGACATGGCCGAAGTACTTCATTTTTTTTATTGATTCGCTGATACGTCTCATTTAGGTTCAGTGGTTCTCTGAAGTGCGTATTAAGAATCTTGTCTAATCGGCTTATTCCCATTAGGCCACGAAGGCAAGACAACTCAAAAACATGGAGCCTGTCGACACCAACTTTCTTGACTGTCCGTGACTCAGCACCATACAGGAGTATCGACAGAATCAAACTTTGGTATGGCTGCATCTTGGAGTGGTTGCTGATGACTTTGGATGTCCAAATGTTGGTCAGCTTTTTAAAAGCTACCCCCGCTTTCCTAACTCTTGTTTTGATGTCATTTGTGCTCGTTTGAGTATCTTATGGGATCCCTATGTGTATGCAAAATTGCTCTCCTGCTCTAATTTGTTGTTGATTTTCATGTTGATATGGTACTTTCGTTTGTGAGTTGAACGTCCGTTTTTCTGATGACGATTTTGAGGCACAAATCAACACTTGATTTGTATACTTTGTCTACCATTGATTAGAGTACCTGTTGGGTTTCTGCTGTTAGGACGATGCTGTCTCACCGTGGGGACTCATAGGTTGTCTATTCGTGTTTCTTGTATGGTGACTCTTATTTCGGTATCATCGACAATCATGAGCATAACTAACTCCAGAAGAATGTTGAAGAGTTGTGGAGAGTTGAAGAGATTACACATCCCTATCTGATGCCAACAGTTGTCTTGAAATACTTTGTAAGCTCTCCGTTTACTCTGACCGCACTCTGGGATTGCTCGTACAGCGCCTGCACCAGTGTTTCCAGTTTGCTTGCATATTCAAGGAATTCATTGCCTTCCACAGGCCCCTCTGCCAAAAATAATGGAGGCTCTCGCCTCTTTCGAAATATATGTATATCTCGGGTATCTGCCTTAAAATAAAAACTGATCAGTGGGAGCCTCCCTGGACTGTATCCCTTTCGGGATTCTGATAGAATTTCTTGAGTTCTTTTGACAATTATTCTTCGTAGAATAATGGAAATTGTTTTTCCAGCATGGGAAAGCAGTCAGCCTCTGGCTTCATGTTTTTCGTACACTGGGATTATTATCGCTTAACTCTTCGGGGAACAATTCGGTTCGTCATATTTGATTGCAGAGATGGTGATATGTGTCTGTTTCTGCATGCTTCGCCTACTGCTTTAATTTCTTCTGATCTGATGGAATCTATATCGGTCGCCTTTTCTTCACCGAGTTTCTCAATGGCTCTTTCTATTTAGACCGTCAGTATTATTGGCTCTGGGTCGTTTGGAAAATCGGACAGTTTGTGCCACTGCTTGTAGTTAGGAGATCTTGATCATTTATAGTTCGTTGTAATTTTCTTTCTATCTTTCC